TCGTTCGTATAATGGAGCTGTTAAAGACAATATGCTAGGAAACATATTGGATGCAGCTCGACGAATGTGTAAGCGGGCGCGCTGAGACGACTGCGCCGGCCCAGTACCGCACCGAGAGCGATCGGCGTTTATTAAATTAATTTGCAGGACTTAATGTGACGTTTTACAAGTTAATAATAACTACATATGTAGTTTTATTATTAATAACGTCTTAATCTTTTTTTTTTATACCTCTGAGGTGACAAACAAGTATACGACCCACTTGTTGGTAAGCGGTTACCGTAGCCTATGAACGCCTGCAATACTAGGGGTATTACGCAACGGTTGCGAATCCGGAAGAATCCTCTTTGCCCACCATTTGATATTGTAGTCGCTGTAGATTGTTAAGTCCCGAAAATGAATTTATATGATTAATTCCATTCTTCTCATTGTTTTTAAATGCGTATACTTATACTCTTGTACAAATTTCTATCGCTTTATCCCGTGAGTAATTATTTCATTTTATATTATGCAAAAAATTCTAAGAATTATGAATTAAAACAACTTTTCTAACATTCAATTCTTTGTATGTTAATAAACCGAAATCGACAATTTTTTTTTATGATAAGAATGTTGCTGACCCTGAAAAAACCTCTTTTATAATTCTTTTGTAAAAACCACATGTTATGGTTTCCTGGGAAAACGTAAATAAAATTTACTTTGAATATTCTATTAAAACATATGCAAAACAAAATATCGAATTATAACTTTTTTTTTAATATTTTTAAAGTACCATTTTTTCAACACAGTCACTCGGTGTGCCACGGTGTTTAGCGAGCGATAAATCCGTAGCTACATCTGGGCGCCCGGTTCAATTTTATTACTATTCCCGGCGACTTATTTGATTCACCCGTCAAAGCGGCCCGGACAGGAACACTTGGGTTACATTATCTCCTTGGCATCCACCTTATCTTCACGATAGCCTTTGAAGGTATCACTAACTCACGAAGAGAATTTATGAACGAAATTTTCGAAAACGACACTCCAAAAATGTTGAAGTAATTTTATATTTGCATCTGCCATTCCCCTTTATAAAAGGCTATCTAAGAAGGTACTAAAGTTTGAAAAATGAACTTTAAATTCTTAAATTTGAAAAAGAAAAATGGAAAAGGCTATGCTCGGAGTCTCTTTGATGAATCCGAAACAAAGATATCCGTAAAAGAACAAACGTAACCGACATAGGCCGAAGGATAAGCAAGCCTGAAGTGGCAAAAGGCTGATCACATAGCTTGATTAAAACGATAGCACCATTAACCCATGGGGAACAAAGGTCCTTGAGTGACAACCCTGTACGGGCAAACACAGTATACGACGACCTCCCACTGGATAGAATGACGACCTAAAATACAGGGGGGAAGGGATTGTTAGCAATGAAGTTTGACAGCCCCATTGCTAACAATATGCCCTAATAGGTCGACCTCCTCGCGGTTCTCCCTGCAAACCATCGTGAACAATCCTTGTTGAATTCGTCACGATGGGCTAACTGACCTGCTTCATCCTCACTTATCACCCCTCACTGGTGCCCCGCCAGTGTATACCGATAGCGCAGGCGGGGTTACCATTTCATTGTCATCCATTAAAGACCTGAAAAACATTGCAGGGAGACAGTGGATGCAGGTGGATCTGGACCGTTCTTTATGGCAGTCTATGGAGGAGGCTTACGTCCAGCAGTGATGATGATGATGATGAAAAAGAAAATTAGTAATTTTAACTATAACCATGACAAAAATTATCTATCATATGATCCTGACATAGAATGAACCCCCTTCCTTTTACGTTGGTGTTGTAAAAGGCGACTAAGGGAATTTAATAGTCCGAGTTTTGGCAGCAGCGTCCCTTATTTTGTTTCTGCGTATTATAAATTATGCGCTACCTAGATTATACAATTCTAGTTGTTGCGTCTAACTAGTCTGAGATTATATTATAATGCCATCAGGCACTATCTCCTATTATGTACTTAACTCGTCTATTTTTTTTTTTTGCAATAATATTACGAAATTACATGTTCCCAAAGAGTGTTGACGTCAGGCAGGTGGCCGGTCGTAAAACTAAAAACTAAGTCTTTTTGTAATATGGACAAAATCATATTACGCCGACCCCAAATTATTGGGATAAGGGTAAGAAGATGATTACGAAATTACATCACCAATTTGAAACTAATTAATACTTATATATTCACGATTATTTCTGCATTGGTTTCATTCGATAGAATACTATAATAAATGACGATATAAACTTTAAAATTGCTTAATATGATTCAAAAACTACATACTATATACATGCAACTCCACGTTCAATTTCAGATAAAACTAAATCATATAATTTTATTATATAACTAGATTTTACGTGCGACGTTGTCTGCGTAATCGGGATATATTCACAGAACGAGATAAAAAGTAAAAGTAGCCTATATCGTTAAATTATATAGAAATAGCGTCTCCATAAAAATGCTTCAAGAAAAATGGATCAACTTTTTCATATAATTTTGCGTGATAAATAATTATAAGTGATTGTTTTATAATTTCTATGTTTATTTTGACTTATAAATTCTGCATCGTTTTAATGCATAAACACTCATTTTATTTATTAAATAATACGTCAAGATACACTGTGTACGTAAGTATATAGAACACTGATAAAAAACGAAACAAAAAGGTGACCTGTTTTTGCTCGATGCTCTATCTTTATTTATTTATTTATTTGTTATAAGTTACAATAACAGTTTGCAAACAGAAATGAACCATTAAAAAGAAAACAATACAAAAATTTATCAATACGCAGTTTGCCAACCTTACATTGTTGACATCATTTAGCAGCAAGTTAGAAGTAAACGTTATAACGTTTTTATAGATGTACATCACATTACTGATTACAGTTATCCTCTCTCAAACCTCCTCTACCTCTTAAACCTATAATCTCTTATAATCTGAACCTATATCCTTCTCCATCTCATATAGTACCTACATATATATTAAATTTCATAATGCTTAATTCAGCTGTCAGACACAAAGAGATAGCAAAAACAAACTCACTTTCACATTTATAAGGATTCCATCTCGACCTAGTTGTATAAGGAATTCGAAATAAAAATAGGACATTCCAACAATAAAACAAACAAGTGTACTTCGATCATAAATTGAAATTTCGTTACATTCCACCGGTAAGATTTATTGGAACTATGTAAGTATACTTGTTCAGAAAATATGACATACATACAATGTATGTATCACGACTGTTTTACGGCGGAATCCTCATAGCTTATCGACATAACATTTTTGTTGTATTACAAATAAAACGTGTTGTTTTATAGTCGAGTTACTGGTTATACAATACACGGTATCGCGTCCAGCTGATATGAATACGCGATTCTTCGGTAACTTACTATAATATGTATTTATTTATTTTATTTTCATTCTTTTATCTCTTTTACTGTGTATTATGTGTATGTTTGTATCGTAATTTGTGTGCTGTAAGTAATGTAAATAAATCATCTATCTATCTATCTATTTATTGTACCATTTATAAATAGTAAATACATATAATTGTAATGAGAAGTGATACAAAAGGCGGCCTTATCGCTAAGCAATCTCTACCAGACTATCTTTGGGTAGAGGGTATTGAGAAAAGAAAGAAAGTATGTATATGTATACTAACTTAATTGTGTCTTATTCGGCTTAACTTATTAACTTAAAATCGATAGTTTTTTTAATGTATTTATGCGCATGCTAACTAAATAAAAAAAAAGTAGTAAAACGAAAGTCCATATCACTGGTTTTAAGTAGAAGAAAAGTTCTTAAGTGGCGACCTCGTATAGGGTAAACGCAGTATAGGATGACCCCTCCCTCTACTAGATGGAGTGACGACCTCAAATGCAGCGTAGGGAGTCAGTGGACGCAGGTGGTAAAGGACTGTTCTTTATGGCAGTCTATGGGGAAAGCCTATGTTCAGCAGTGGACGGATGGACAGATGATGATGATGCTATCGCTGATTAGTTGATTAAAATTATTTTATTTATTTCCACTACCTTTAGTATGCACGCGTCTGCCAACATTTCAAAATTGATTACTATTAATGTTAGTAGAACGTTCTTTTACTACGGTCTCTTTTGTATTTTTTTTTACAACACAGGGTTCTAACGAGCATGATGCTCACGTGATGGTAAGTGACTACCGCCGCCCATGATCACCCACAACACCAATGGCATTGCATGTGTGCTGCTGGCCTTTTAAAAAGGAATATGCTCTTTTCTTGAAGGTTATATTGTCGTATCGGTTCGAAAATACTGTTGCTGGAAGTTGATTCCAAAGAATGATTGTGCGTGGAAGAAAGTGCCTTGAAAAATGCACGGTGGAAGACCGCCACCAGATGGTCCAGATGGTTGGGATGAAATTTTAGTTTATGGCGGGTAGTACAACTGTATTACTCTAGTTATCCTTCAAAATTCATAAATCTTTCGCTTTTAACATTTTTCATTTTTATTAAATCTTTTTTTTTTTTCTTTCAGTAATTTTAGTTTGTTTTAGTTTATATGCGAGCTGTAATATATTCGATAGTTTGCGGAAGAAACTAGCAATGGTGCGTAAGTAAAGTATAAATATTTTATTATTTAAATCCCTTCCTTACTGTTGGGTGTCGTAAGGGGCGACTAAGGAAGACTTTGTACAAAAGTCGATTGCTTGGCTACCTCTGTCCCATTCGTGTTTCAACCGTGAAACAGTTGTGTTTGCATGGCTGCGTTTCGGTTTGAAGGGTGGGATATGGCGTGAATTTACTGGGTACAGAGGAATAACACCTGAGTCCTCAGGAATGGTAACACATGGGGGGTATCATGGGCGAAACAGTATACTCTGTTATGTCCATATACACTCTGTTATCTCACTCATATATACTCTGTTATCACTTTCCATCAGGTGGGCCGTCAGCTTGTTTGCCATTCTAAGTTGTATAAAAAAAAAGTACTGATGGAGTGCTCCAAGAATAACAATGAGAGGAAAGAAGTGATTAATAAGTTACGGACTAATAAAAATAATATAGAAATGTTTCATGCCATTCTAGCAGAATCCTCGGCCGACGACGCGAGCCTGATGTATGATATGGTTGTATATAGGTTTTAATGTAAATCTACCTACCTTTAATTTGGTGGTGTCTTTTTAATGTTAAAATATATCCAATGATGTTCTAAAATTGATTAAATTACGATAGAACTGACGTACCTAAAAGGACAAAAGTCCCTAAAAATTAAGGAAAAAAAAATTAGCAGTTAATTATTATTTTAAACTCAATTTTAGGTAGATGTTGGTACATACAAACGAATAACAGACATAGTTGATGACAAAGATGTTGACCAATCCACCTCCATGATAATAATAAATGCAGCACACATGAAGGTGAGTTTTAAGTGTCAGTCGAGAGATATATAAATCAATTCAACGTGCGTTATTTTGACAGACAAATAAATAAAGAAAGTAACAAAAATATTTATTTGGCGCATATAAATAACGATTAAAACTAAAACATAAACAATTATAAAACTTGTTAGAAAAAGGAAATACAAAAATAAACTTATATCTAAATAGAAAAAATGCGACCGAAATGGTCACCACTCAGGTTTTTTTTCGACACAGTATACACTGTTATGTCCATGGAACTGTTAATGTATATTAGCGTCGCTTAGAACTTCGTCGGGTGGGCCATCAGCTTGTTTATCATTCTAAATTGCATAAAAAAGATATACCAGTGAGATAACAGCGAAAGTGAACGGATACTGACACCAAAAGAGAATGAGATGTACATAAGTCTACAAAAAGTAGATCCTTCAAAAAATACCCTTAGGGCGACTTTCTGTGGAGAGAGGCGAAATCGTAATTTTTGCAAAATAGTGATTATAAAAATGGAAATCATAGATTTTGTTCCACAAAACAAAAAAAACAGCCGACGTCAATCTGACAAATTATTTAAATAAGACTATGTAATCCTTTCAATAAACTAATTGTTTGTAAAAGTAATTAAATATAATCTAACATCTAAATTGACATTAATAGATGTATATTAGCTATGTATGGATTAAATCTTGCTACACTCAAATAGGGTTCATATACTTACACTTCCTAAGAACATTGTAACAACTTTATAACATGTACATGAATGCATAACAATAAAAAAATAAATAATTCTTTTAAAAATCAAATTAAAAATCAGTTTGAGGGTCGTTTTTAATCTCACAGAAACTTTCTGACTGTGATGTTTTCAGCCCTCTTGGGAGTTCCCGTTCAATATTAAGTATACAGCACCCAAAACCTTTCGGCTGAAAAATAATTCTTTGATAAGTGTTCCAATGATGGTGAAAGTCGATCAAGCACTTTACTATGATGACCAGATCAACGATGTAGAGGTAAAGTTACTTAAAAATCTATTTGTTTTTATTAAGTTAAAGTACTTTAATGGGAAATGTGGAATCAATTTCAGATGATTTCAATACACTTAGGAGCCAGAGGCGTTTCAATATGTATTGTAGTGCCAAACACAGCTAATGGTTTACCAGGATTCCTGGACAAACTATCTAAAAATCCCAATATAATGATTAGAAACCGAAGGAATATGAAGTGGACACACCTGAAAATGGAACTGCCCAGGTTCAAAATAAAATTCCTCGTGGATTGGGCAGAATATTTGAAAAAGGTGAGATTATTGTATATTAAATCATTTACCAGTGTTTAATCTGAATTATGAACAATAAAGATTTTACAACACAATACAATACAGTACAATTATTTCTTAATAATAGGCAATTTTCAACAATACAATACTTTCATTTTTGATAAATTTTTGTTAATGTGTTTCGGTTTGAATGGTGGGATATGGCGTGAATTTACTGAGTACAGAGGAATAACACCTGAGTCCTCAGGAATGGCAACGCATGGGCGGTATCATGGGCGGAACAGTATGCTCTGTTATGTCCATGGTACTGGTCATGTCTATAGGCGACGGTTACCACTTTCCATCAGGTGTGCCGTCAGCTTGTTTGCCATTCTAAGTCGTATAAAAAAAAAACTTTAATAACTAACTTAACTTCACTAAAAATTTAAATAAAAATTCTAGAAAAATCTAAATTCTCATAAAATACTTTAATTTTTAGCTAGGAATAAAAAGTATATTTAATCAACAGACATCAGGTCTTAACTCTTTGTTAACTGATAACGCAAAGAACAAAATATACCTGAATAAGGTAAAGCAGAAAGTTTTCTTTGAACTAGATGAGATGGGGCCCTACCGTCAAATAAACCGTAAGATCGATTAGTTACTTTGTAACAAATATTTACATCGAAGTCTAAGAACATAATGCTTTCTTAATCAATTTCCAAAAACAATATATACTGGAATAAATACTTGAATAACAGTCTTTATTATAACAAGTGGATTAAAAAACAAACGGCGACTTTAATTGTGGAAAATCAATTATTTTTATTTAAAAACCAAACTACTCAACGCATTTGATGTAATTTCTATGGTACCAAACTGAAAGTATATTCTTGCAAATAAAAGAAGAATTTTCCATATCGATTTATAAATAACGTAATTATTAGATAACAAACATATCTATCTATCTATCTATCCTATTTAAGAGCTGCGCTCCTGTCGGTGGAGCTCTTGCCACTCACTACGATTGTCAGCGAGTCCCTTCACCTCTTGATACGACACACAAACATAAACCACTCCTCCTTTTCTTAAAGTCTGTTAGAGTTCTGATACCTCTAAAAAATTTGCAACTTCTTTATACTTATTTCATTTTACCAGAGGGAGACTTTGTACAAAAGTCGATTGCTTGGGTACCTCTGTCCCATTTGTGTTTCAACCGTGAAGCAGTTGTGTTTGCATGGCTGTGTTTCGGTTTGAATCGGGATATGGCGTGAATATATTGGAATAAATACTTGAATACAGAGGAATAACACGACTTTGAGTGGAAAATCATTAATGGCAACGCACGAGGGGTATCATGGGCGAAACAGTATATTCTGTTATGACCATGGTATAAATAATGTAATTATTAGATAACGACATTACCACTTTCCATCAGGTGGGCCGTCCTTGTTTGATTCTGAGTTGTATAAAAAAAAAAATATATATAAAGTTTACAAATATTTTTTGCTATCACATTTTAAAATATTAGTGATAGTATTATAAGAGCCTCAACGTATTGTTAACGTTTTACCGATCGAATACTTTTAAAATGGTCATTCGAAAATATTAAAAAATATATATTTTTTCAAAATGTACGATGATGCTAGACATCGGAATGTTTATTACTTTGTATATTCAATACTAGCTACGAATGTAATTCAAACGATCACCATTTTTCTACAGCTTCGGAATTTATGATTCAAGACATACCACCAAATATAAAACTTAGTGGAAATTTCAAATATTTTTCTGCATCAAAGCCGTTTTATTTCGTTGTCACCATGGAATCGGGTAATACCGTGGAAGAGTTATTTAATGGAGTTTATTATGGAAGTGAATAAACTATAATTTTATGAAAGGTTTTATTTAAATAAAAATGTAAAACTAACATGGAACAATAAGACCTATTGATAAAAAAAAAAATATAAAATAAATCAGAAAATAGAACGAAAATATCCTACAACATTCTGTACTATGTAATATGAGAAATACCTATATATTTGGCAGTGAACAACAAATAGGCTATAATTATGGTGATCCTACAGCATATAAAACAGTAAAGAGCCCATCGAAAATTATTGTTTCATGTCATTAAATTAATTAAAAAATTTAATGGACGATAATGGAATGGTAACCCCGCCTGTACTAGCAGTATGTATACATAGGTGAGAATAAAAAAGCAGGTCAGTTAGCCCCTCATGACAAATATATCTGGAATTCAGCACGGTATTTTCCAGGGGGACCACGTGGAGGTCGATCTACCACTTTTACTCTCCCGCCATTTTATATTATAAGAAGAGCCACACAATCACCTGGTGATCTTCAAGATCTAAAATACTCTATATTATGATAAAACAGGCATAAAACATTTGGTACCGCCCTAGTAAATTCAGAAAAAAATGTTACTTTCCTAAAATAGCTACAGCCACCTTTTATCATCGCAACACTTGTCATCGACAGGGAATGAATTCCCTGTTGATGATGACTCCTCATACGCTTAAACTTAAACTGTCATGCAGTTTCAATGGGATTTTCTCCCACGAACACTCAGGCTGTGAAATGAGCTCCTAGCTGAGATTTTTCCTAGAAACTACAGTTTGAGGTTTTTCAAAAAGCGTATATTAAGATTTTTTCAGAGTCGCCAACACGCACGTGACACCCCTAATATTGCAGGCGTCCATAGGCTACAGTGATCGTTTACCATTAGACGGACTGTATTTACCATCTTTGTGGTATAAAAAAAAAATCCGGGAATCGAAACCATTATATATGACTAATTTTGGTGTAATATGGCAGTGAATTTACAGGGTATGGAATAACATCTTAGTTCTCAGGAATGGCAACGCATGGGGAGTATCATGGGCGAAACAATATACTCTGTTATATCCATGGTACTGCTCATGCTTATAGGCGACAGTTACCACTTACTATAAGGTGGGCCGTCAGCTTGATTGCCATTCTAAGTTGCATATAAGAATAAAAATTTTTCTACCACAGAGGTAGCAAACAAGCATAAAGCTTACATACATACGTTATCAATCTCACTCCATCCAATTTACAACAAAAACTTACATTCTATTTTTTAATTTTGTTAACATTCCGTGTGTCCTTTTGTCATTTCTGTGAATGAAAACATCAATGTCACAGTACAGACCTAAAATAATCGTCGGCTAACGAGTCACGTGTCGCTCATACAGGGTTGTATTTATTGAAAAACGCCCTTGCGACAAATTGGCCGAATGACAAAGGGTAACAATATACTGCTAACAAATTACGTCAATCATTGGCATAGAAACAGAATGTTAATTGACCGAGGGTTAAAGATTGATTGCCAAAAATGTCCCTACAATCAATGTATAATATTACATTAATACTTTAAACCAGAGACTGTATTCATTACCATCATATCTGTCTTTTGCCACACTTAGCAGGCGGATTGGCAACCGCAGTTCGGCTTTAAAAATGTTTTAAGAGAGACGCTAATTTCAAACGGTTAAATTGTATAATAAATTACCCACTGCATTAAAAACTATTAAAGGTTGGAGAATTTTGAAAATAAAACTTTATCCTCTTTTATTGGAAAGGTGCATCTACACGATTGATGAATTTTAAAATACTCTTTTATTATTTTATGCCTTACTGATGACATTTGTAAATTGATTGTAATGTAATTTTTGACAATTATTATTGGTTATTTTGCTGCTTCATATTTTTTTGTTTTGTTATATTTTATGATATCTTCTTGTCACTTGCAAAAGTATTCAACATAATGCAATATTGTAACGAATAAAATAAATTGAAATTGAAATTATATATAGATTCACATGCGTGAAGCTGCGCTATATAGCTGATAAAGTATACAGTTATTATCTTGTATATTTATCAAGATTAATTAATGAAAGAAGATACCACGATACGTATATTTATCTCTACTATTAGTAGTGTTATTTACAAATAAATAAATTACAATGTTTCAAGTTCAAAACAGCGTATATTTGTAAATTCATTTATCCACATTTAACTGAATACATATTGATGGAAGATCACTAAAATTCAATCATTCACTTTTAACCTGATAAGTGTGAATAATTGAATTTTGAACTGTAAACCGTAAATTTGTTTATTTGCTTTTAACTCTATATTATTTGACGTAAATAGACATCAGCGTTATTTTAAGACCCTTAATTGTTTTCGACAATTGTGCTCCTAAATACTGGCAACTGCTGAATGTAGTTGCTATCAGATCGTTTGATCACATAAAACTAATTGAGTCCCATGGGATGTTACCTGTCAGATGAGCAAACGTCGGATTTATTTTATAGTAGAAAATTAAATTCCAATGCATTGCTGTTGAGTAGAAACTTGGTACGGTATTGCATGATAATATTATATATACACTTTTTAATTTACATACATACGTACATACATATCTTATTTTTAATGGGTGATGATGGAATGGTACTAATTATTGTAAGTTGGTTATAATTATTGTAACCCCCAGAACTGGTGGCCACAGTTTGGGTATATTGCTGCAGATTTTCACCATCGTACAACCCGCCATAAACTAAAATTTCACCCCAACCATCTGGACGAATGGCGGTCCTCCACCGTGCGTTTTTCAAGGCACTTTCTCCCACGCACAACCACTCTTTGGAATCAACTTCCAGCAGCAGTATTTCCGAACCGATACGACAACATAACCTTCAAGAAAAGAGCATATTCCTTTTTAAAAGGCCGGCAGCATACCTGCAATGCCGTAGGTGTTGTGGGTGATCATGGGCGGCGGTAGTCACTTACCATCAGGTGAGCCGCATACTCGTTTGCCCCCTGTGTTGTAAAAAAAAAAACTAAAAGTTTTATTATGATAGAATGTACAAAAACAATAACAATATTTTATTAATTTTTCATAAACAAAACACATCAAAATTACCGGAGTGCAACTAAATTCTGGGGAACGACAGCGATCCCCCCAAATTATACGGGCCACTACTTTATATGCATGGCAATATACAGTTAACAATATTCAAATCGGTTGTGTAATAACAATCAGGGCCAATTATCAAGGCGTTGGGGAGACGGTGGTGGAAATGTATGCAGATGACTGATGTCGCGCGCCCGAGGCGCCACCTACATTAAAACAGTCCGCGACATATATAACGATGCCGTAATAAATAGATTTTGACCCGAAAAATTGCTTAAATTGTGACAAAATTAGTTTTTTTTTTTAATCTAAAAACTAAACTACTAATAAAATTTCTATGACATCTAACTGTAAATATATTTTGGGGGGAAAGGGATTGTTTGTAATGGGGTCTAACTGCCCCATTGCTAGCAATATACCCTATCAGGTCGCGCTTCCACGTTGTTCCCCCTGGAAACCATCGTGACTAATTTATCGTTGAATTCGTCACGATGGACTAACTGACCTACCTTTTCATCCTCACCGTTCATCCCTCACTGGTGCTCCGCCAGTGTATACCGTTACCGCAAACGGGATTACCATACAATTATCATCCATAAAAAATTTTTTAAGTATTTTAGGGAGGGGGGGGGATTGTTAGTTATATGGAGTACCAGTCCTATTGCTACCAATATACTCTGGCAGATCGAACTCCACGTGGTTCTTTTATACTTCTCTCTTCTACTCTTCATTTTATACCAGCGATTCGGCCCAGCTTTACACGGATAGAATGAATTTTCCAAAATAATATATAATATAATTACACGCTGATAATATAGCTTTTTATAGGCGTAAGAATTTTGAAAAACAATTGAGCGGTTTTTGAGTTTTTCCATTACAACACACAAAAACAATCGAAAATAAATTATGTCAAAGGTTAGGAATTAAAAAATTATTCAATTAAATCATTAAATTATTTATAGACGAAAAACCGATAACCGATAGGGAAAAATTGAATGGCGCCTTTCTTACGGGTAAACGCAGTGTAAAATGACCTCAAGTGTGTTTGTTCAAATGTAATATAAACTAGTAGATGCAGATGGCTTGAATCGTTTTATGGTAATCTATGGACACTACCTCTACTTGTTTCTTTAAAACGAGAAGAGGAAGTGTCAATTTTTTTTACCAATGTGGACTTTGTACAAAAAGTCATACGGCCCACTCTGATGGTCGTGTTTCTACTGTAGCCTTGGTTTGCATGGCTATGTTTCGGTTTGAAGGGTGGGATACGCGCGTTGTCGAGGGTGAAGAGGAATAACATTTAACCCCTTTTGAAGAACCCCATGCTGTAGTCTCGAAAAAACACTCTGTTATGTCCATGGCCTATATAACCTATGTCCATCAGGTGGGACGAATAATGGCTGAAGTTGTATAAAAATAAATTATCAATATGGCGGAAAATAATTGGTATTCTTATTTTAATCACATCGTATAATCCTGTAACCTGCCACCATTAAGCACTGTGCAGCGCCGTGTACACCATAAACCTACCATTAATTTGGGTACCAACACACCGGCAGCAACTACTACCTATAGTAGTACCAACCGCACCTACATCAGCCCGTTAGGTACGGTGCGCAGAAAAATTGTGCGCGTCGCACACAATGACAGGAGGTCATTTGTTAATTCGCTGAAATATGGTGGCAGCGGACGGCTATTCATTATAAGGCCGGCTCGTTTGTGCCACACGTGTGTGTCGGTAGCGTCAGCAGCGCAAGCTTTAGACACAGTGAGGAAATATAATTTATATCAAATTTTATACATATATGAAGGTATTTACATATTTTTCTATTTATCATATTTACATATTTCACGTCATTGTATGTTAGTTATGATAGTTAATTTTAAACTTTCGTATTGTTTACACATACATACCAAAGGGAAACTTTGTACAAAAATCGTTTGCTTGTGCACCTCTGTCCCATTCGTATTTCTACCGTGAAGCAGTTGTGTTTCGGTTTCAAGGGTAGGATATGGTAGTAAATTTACGGGGTATAGAGGAATAACACCTGAATCCTCAGGAATGGCAACGCATGAATGATATCATATGCGAAACAGTATACTCTGTTATATTCATAGTACTGTTCATGTCTATAGGCGATGGTTACCACTTTTTACCAGGTAGGCCTTCAACTTGTTTACCATTCTAATTTGTTTTTTTTTTACGACGCAG